TTTTTTAGTTCTCCCATATAGCTCAGTATGTGCAAGTTCCACATCATCATCACTTGTGTTCAAATCATTGGTAATATTTTGAGTGTCTTCCTGTCCTTAATTTTGTGAAAAATATGTTTTGCAAAAAGAAAATACCACCACAGAAGCAAGTAATCTTATGGTAAGTCTCCCAAGGAAAAAAAAGGGTACATAGTGGGTTTAATTTAAGTGATAAAGCAAAAATTTGAGATTTGTTGAAGGATGGAATGTCTTTACCAGAAATTGAGTGGCATTGTGGAAAAATGAATCAAGCATCTGCAGTATTCGAGTTGGACAGAACATTAAATAGGATCTAGTTTTAGTGAGCAGAGTTAATGAGTACAACAGTATTTTGTGCAGTAATGTAGTCTATTCCATAGAGTTTCAGGTTATGGATGCTTAGACCTATCATATATATGATAAAAGTAAGGTTGAATAATCTTAGAATCTGAATAATCTTAGAATACTGGACTCTAAACATCCTAAGCATTCAATGATTTTTTTTTCCTCAACAGTAGTCTCCTTAGAACCATGCACATATGAATAGCAAGAATTTACAGTACAGACCTATCAGATTGAAAAGCTTGTTTTCCAAAGATATTCAAGAACTCAGTAAGTGTGTGCTTCAAATATTTTCCATAAATTATAGTTTTAGAAAGTATGTCAGCCAGGCACTCATAGATTATGGATTGAAAACTATAATCCTAGCTACTCAGGAGGCTGAGATCTGAGGATCATAGTTCCAAGCCAGCCTAGGCAGAAAAGTCCATGAGACACTTACCTCCAATTAACAAGCAAAAGGCTAGAAGTGGAGGAGTAGCTTAAGTATTAGAGCACCAACCATGAGCAAACAAGCTAAGCAAGGGTGAAAAGCCCTGAGTTCAAGCCCCAGTAGTGGCACATACACTAAAAAAAGAAGAAAATATTTCAATTAAACAATAAACAAAAGCAAAAATATCATAAGATGGTGAAAAATTGAATCATTGGTGAGCAAAGAACATAAAATATATGTGAGAAGATAGATTTGTGGATGAATAGACAATGGATGGATAGGTAGATACATGCATACATGCATACATACTGAAATATAATTGTTATGAAATCATGATTGTTATGAGTTCCTCTTCAAGGAAAAAGAACACATAACAACAAAAGTTCTTTTTAAAAGATAGTACACAAGCAGCTCAACAGACCTAAAGTTGTAAATTAAAAAAGAAATGGATACGTAATATCTCATTCAACTGCTTGAGGAAGAGAAGAGAAGAAAATGAATATAAACTATTTTCAATGCTGAGCCTATTGAGGAGCAGTGCCGTGAATCATCTCAGTTAGGAAAGTGGGAGGTGTCACATTTATTAGTAACAATAGAAACATTGATGAATTAGGAGCCTTGAGAAGCCTTCTCAACTTCCATATGTGAAAAAGTATATTAATAAAATTTATTATTGAAATAAGGCAATTACTTTGAGAAACTCAAGTATTTGGGTGTTTTCTGTTAAATTATAGGAATATTAACTTCATACTCCTGAATAATAAACTTCAATATCTAAAATAACATGCTCACATTCAGAAATTAATTCCATTTTAATTAATCATCATTTATACTCTAAAAAGTTATGGAGTACTATGAACCAATATATTCATATATTAGAATTACCACATTTAGATTATTTTTTTTTTTTTTGGTCAGTCGTGGGGCTTGAACTCTGGGCCTGGGCGCTGTCCCTCAGCTCTTCAGCTCAAGGTGAGCGCTCTACCACTTGAGCTACAGCGCCACTTCCGGTTTTCTGGTGGTTTATTGGAGATAGGAGTCTCAGGGTCTCTCCTGCCCGGGCTGGCTTTGAACCGCGATCCTCAGATCTCAGCCTCCTGAGTAGCTAGGATTACAGGCATGAGCCACCAGCGCCCGGCATTTAGATTATTTTTAAAAACCTTATGTTTACCACATTTGAATAGAGTACTATTTGGACCTAAATAAAAGAAGACAGTACTATGTTCATGAATTAGAAGATACCTGTTTTAAAAATGTTAGTTCCCCCAAAATATAATACTCAGTATGAAACTTTAAAACTAAGTGTAGAATTCAAATGAAATGATAAAGAATTGCCAACCTAGGCTAGGTGGATGATGTGATGCATTGACCTACATGTACATTGGGTAAATATTCAGTCACACTAGTTAACATAACTTTTGTCTCACCAACTTACCACTTCTTTTTTTTTTGTCAGTTGTGGGGCCTGAACTCTGGGCCTGGGTACTGTCCCTCAGCTCTTCAGCTCAAGGCTAGAGCTCTACCACTTGAGCTACAGGGCCACTTCCAGCTTTTTCTGCTTATGTGGTGCTGAGGAATCAAACTCAGGGCCTCATGCATGCAAGGCAAGCATTCTACCAGTGAGCCACCTTCCCAGCCCCCAACACTTCTTATAAAAACATTAAATATGGGCTGGGAAGGTGGCTCACTGGTAGAGTGCTTGCCTTGCATGCATGAGGCCCTGGGTTCGATTCCTCAGCACCACATAAGGAGAAAAAGCCTGAAGTGGTACTGTGGCTCAAGCTGTAGAGCACTAGCCCTAAGCTGAAGAGCTGAGGGACAGTGCCCAGGCCCAGAGTTCAGGCCCCATGACTGACAAAAAAAAAAAAAGTAGAACATTAAATATTTATTCTTTCAGGGATTTTGAAACACCCAATACATTATTAACTGTATCCCATAAATACATACAATTAAGCTGGGCTATCATCTTAGCTACTCAGGAGGCTGAGATCTGAGGATCATGGTTCAAAGCCAGGCCCGGCAGGTAAGTCCATTGGAGACTCTTATCTCCAATAAACCACTCAGAAAACCGGACGTGGCACTGTGGCTCAAGTGGTAGAGCACTAGCCTTGAGCTGAAGAGCTGAGGTACAGTGCCCAGGTCCAGAGTTCAAGCCCAATGAGCAAAACAAAACAACAACAACAAAAATACAATTATTTGTCCATTAAAATAAAATAACAAAAAATTTTAATTAAAATAAGAAATAAAAGTAAAAAATAATAAAAGTAAATAAAATTAAATCACTGGTATTTGTACAATGAGATATTAAGTATTAATTTAAACCATAACAATTAAAATTAGATGTCAATTGTACTGACATAAGACAAAAAGGCTAACAAAATAGATCACTCAGAAACTGACCCATACAAATAGAAATATTACACATGTGACATGAGTAACAGCATGAAGCAGTAAAAGAAATACGTTTTTACGTGATATTATGTATATGAAAAATAAGACTGTACATTTCCTGCATGTGTATGTTCTAGAAATGAATTCTAGAAATATTGGAGAACAAAATATAAAAAGCAAAAATTGTTAAGTTCCTAATATATGAAATAGGAGAATATGTTCATCATCTCAGAGAGGGATGCATTTCTTAATCCAGAAACAAAAAAAAAGTACCAATCAGAAATTTTAAATATATAAAGAACAACTGAATCAAGAATTTTGATAATAAAAATAGACCCTTTAAAGCCAAGTGCCAGTGTCTCATGCCTGTAATCCTAGCTACTCAGGATAGTGGTTCTGAGGATAGTGGTTCAAAGCCAGCCCAGGCAGGAAAGTCCCCGAGACTCATCCCCAATAAACCACTAGAAAATCAGAAGTGGTGCTGTGGTTCAAGAGGTAGAAAGCCAGCCTTGAGCTGAAGAGCTCAGGGATAGTGCCCAGGCCCAGAGTCCAAACCCCACCATCATCACCACCAACAACAACAAAAATAGACCATATGTGGGGGGAAAGGCCAGAATATATATACATAAATGTATGTATGGCATAAATGCTTAAATTCTACTAATCAGCAACAAAGAGGTTCAGAATACAAAATAATCAAAAATGTTTGCTTCATAAAGGCATTTAAGTTTACTATCTAATAGTGATTACTATTATAATAGTGAAAAGACACTCAACTTCACTTTTTAAAAAACACTAATTAAACCCCCAAGGAGAGGCAGCTCTTCATCCAGCAAACTTTAACTGTAACAAGTAGTGGAGAAGAATAGAGCAACTAAATTAATTAAAATTAATTAAAATTTAATTTTAATTAAAATTAAAATTTATTAAACAATTTATTTAATTTTTAATTATTTAATTTGTTAATTAAATAAATTGAAAATGATTCAATAAATAATTTATTAAAACATTAAAATAATAACATTTTAATTTTAATTTTTTGGGGGGGGTTCAGTCGTGGGGCCTGAACTCTGGGCCTGGGCACTGTCCCTCAGCTCTTCAGCTCAAGGCTAGAGCTCTACCACTTGAGCCACAGCACCACTTCCGGCTTTTTTCTTTTTGCTTATGTGGTACTGAGGAATCGAACCCAGGGCCTCAGGCATGCAAGGCAAGCACTCTACCACTGAGCCAACTTCCCAGCCCCTAATTAACCAAGATATCAAGAAATGGTTCAAAACAAATTGTTTTCTACTCAATAGTCTATTTTTAAGAAATGGAAACAATAAATTACATATGTAAATAACATGGAAAAATCCTACAAGCACAGTGTTCAGTTCAATAATAAGGAAATGCAAAACTAAACTATTTATTACAAACAAATAATAATAATTGCAGTCATGCAAAAGGTGACCTCTGGGAATCTGACAGGGCTGTGATCACGTAGATATCAAAAAATAATACTGGAGTGCCAGACATGTTCTAGTTCTTTGAAACTATACTATTTTTCATTTATAAATATTTCCTAAACCACAGGTATGTTTGTGTGTATAATTACTTTTTAGTAAGTATGTTACATTTTACAGCCAAAAAATGTTCAAACACAGAAATAACTAGAAAAAGTGTGCATTACTCAAACAAAAACTGTATTTGAACTTACAAATTAGGAAAGAAGAGGTAATAAGTATTCATTTGATCAAACCATCACAACCGGAGAAAAAGGCACAAATAAAATAACAAAAAATATGTAGTACAATGGAAGAAAAAATGCAATGAAGCATACCATCCATAATATAAACTTGAATGATCTAAATTCAGAATTAAAAGAAAGACATTATCATATTGAGTTTAAAAGGGAATATTCATTTCTATGCTTTGTGTGTGTGTGTGTCTGTGTGTGTATGTTTGTGTGTGTTTGTGTGTGTGTGTGTGTGTGCGCGCGTGTGTGTGACTCCCAGGGTGTAAACTCAGGGCCTGGGTGCTTTCCCTGAATTTTTCTACCCAATGCTACTGCTCTATCACTTGAGTCATACCTCCACTTCCACTTTTTTAGTGGTTAATTGGAGATAAGAGTTTCATAGACTTTCCTACCTAGCTGGCTTCAAACCAGGGTCCTCAGATCTCACTCTGCCTCCTGACTAGCCAATATTACAGACAAAAGCCACTTGTGTATCCTTTACTAAGAAGTATAGTTAATGTAATCAATAAAGTTAATGTAACCAATACAGGATTAACAAACAGATATCCACACTTGAGCACAATTTTGTGCTCAAATCTACTGCTATTGTATTGGAATTTAAAGAAACAATACAGATATGATGAATACTGTTTGTCAAACAATAATGTAAGGACTTCTGTGTGCTTTTTCTTGATAAACAAAAAGTAAACTACACAAAATGTATGAAGGAAGATAAGGAATAGATAAGGAATGGGGAAAGCACACACAAATGAGATGAACCCTAAGATTGTCCACATTTCCTCTTTAAGGCAATTTCTAAACACTGCCAAATTGTTTACTGGGGGAAATATTATACCTGGTTGAGAACCACAGCTTTAAAAACACATATCTGGGCATGCACACACACACACACACACACACACAATCTAGCACCTGACATTATAAATTCAAAATATCTGGCACCTGAGAGGCTGGGAAAGTGGTAGAATACTTGCCTACCATTCATGAAGCCCTGGGTTCGATTCCTCAGTACCACACAAGCAGAAAAAGCCAGGACTGGCATTGTGGCTCAAGTGGTAGAGACCTGACCAAAGATCCAGTAATGAAAAGAAGAAATAAATCTTATACAAGAAGAACCAATCAAAAGAAGCATAATGACAAAAATATTCAAATTAATAGAAAAGAGTGTTCAAATATTTATTATAATAATCCTTATATTTGCAAGAATATAGACAGAAGATTAAAATTAAGTGAAGATAAAATAAAATTTGAATACCTGAAAGGAATCTTACACCAATAGGAAACAAAGAAAGAAAGAAATGTACTGGCTAGGATCAACAGATATGTTACTTATAAAGGGAACATCAGTGAGTTTGAAACCTTTAAAATATATAAACAAAGGATATCCAGTGAAGCACAGAAAGAAAAGATACAAAAATGAGCAAAGTTTCAATGACTTGCAGGATAATATCTAACAATCCAACATATGTATAATTGAAATTCCAAAAAGACTAGAAGGAAAAAAAAAAAACGTTGAATAAATATGACTAAAAGTTTTCCCAAATTGAATGTAAATGGTAAATCTAAACATTCAAGAATATCAACAAGCCTAACAGCTAACATTAAAAAAACAAAAACTAGACTAAAGCACATAATCAATTTGCAAAAGTAAGTGACAAAAATCAGTGACAATGTATTTGATTCCAGTGCCCTGAATCTTTTATATACATTTCTCTAGTTTGGGGAAGGGAAAGGAAAAAACAAAATGCTTAAATAGGGATACAGGTTGACCCATTGTAACAATGAGATGTACAAGACACTATGTTGAAACCAAACTTTACAAATTCAGCTAGGATTAGAAACTTAAGTCAACATTACTGACATTAATGTTCTTTTTTGTGCACCAATTCCACATGGCAAAATGATTTCCATAGAAATGAAACACTGCTATTGGGCTGGGAAGGTGGCTCAGTGGTAGAGCGCTTGCCTTGCATGCATGAGGCCCTGGGTTTGATTCCTCAGCACCACATAAGCAAAAAGAAAAAAGCCAGGAGTGGCGCTGGAGCTCAAGTGGGAGAGCACTAGCCTTGAGCTGAAGAGCTGAGGGACAGCGCTCAGGGCCAGAGTTCAGGCCCCACTACTGGACCCCCCCCCCCCCGAAAAAAGAAGAAGAAACACTGCTATTTTAGAGAATATATAAAATGATACAACATATTTTACAAGGAAAACAAAGCAAAAAAGATTCAAAGTGTTTACTCATATATAGGTGAATAATAAATAATAATTGTCTATCAACACTATGGAATACTACATGATACTAAAAGTGTCAGGATATTGTGGAGACATAAAATGCATCATACAGATTAATTTTTCAAAGAAATAATAGCAAAAATCTTTAGGTGTAAGTACATAATTGTCTGATATTTAAGCACAAATAAAATGTGAAAATAAAATCGCAGGGAATGTATAAGACTTCTGAGAGTAAACAATGATGTCTCTTAAAGACAACAAAGATAAATGAACAGAATGTATAAAAACAATGATTTATAAATTAACACATCTATATGTATAGATTTAAATTAAATTTTTAAAACTTCAAATTATTAGTTATGGTTAGCCTCATTAGAACTAGCTTTTGTAAAATGTTTAAGATCTCACACCATAGGATTTTTGTTTTGTAAATACATATAAACATTTTAAATGAGAAGGCCACAAAAAAATAATATTTCTGGTTTTGGACAATGAGGTTGCACTACAGGAAAAAAAAAAAAAGCAAATCCAAATAACTAGAGAGGAAGTAATCAAGTACAAGAGGGATTAAATACTGAAGAAATAATCTCAAAATTGGAGTTAAACATGGCTTAAACGAGTAAGTTTTGCGAGGAAGGCTACATATTAGTATTAAAAAAAACCATTTTTAAATATTCGAACTTACCTCTTTCGGGCGTTCTACCTGCCCCTCCCTCTGACATGGTTCTTCTGCTGAACCCAGAGGAGGAGGAAGACTAGGGCTGAAGGCCATGAGATCCGTATTGGATGGAACCACTGCTGAGCACACCTTCTGCCTCCTCTGCTGGGAGTAAGTCAAACTCCCCACCGCGCTGGAGCACACCAGCACAGGCTTCCCAGGCGCGCACGCGCCCTCGCTCCGCCCCACAGCCGCCCCAGAGCACCGCAGCGCCACGTACAGCACCAGCGTCAGCACCAGCAGGCTGCACACCGCGCAGATGGCGATGATCAGGTACACGTTCACGTCCACCAGCGTCGCCTCCGAAGCCACGGCGCCCTCCGATGCACGCAAAGACAGCTTGGGCGATTGGCCGCTGTCCACCAGAGACACCAGCACCGTGGCGGTGGCCGTCAGCGCCGGCTCGCCATGGTCCTTCACCAGCACCAACAGGCGCTGCCTCGCGGCGTCCGCCTCGTCCAGCGCGCGCGTGGTGCTGATCTCGCCCGTGTACAGCCCCACGCGGAACGGGCTGCGCGCACCGGCCGCCGCCGGCTGCAGCTCGTACGACAGCCACGCGTTGTAGCCAGAGTCCGCGTCCACCGCGCGCACCTTGGTCACCACGTGGCCAGCGCCCACCGAGCGCCACAGCACTTCGCTGCGCGCGCCGCCGCCGCCGCCGCCGCCGCCGCCGCCGGGAGGCCCCAGCAGCGCAGGCGCATTGTCGTTCTCGTCCAGCACGAACACCTGCAGAGTCACGTTGCTGCCCAGGGCGGGCACGCCAGCGTCGCGCGCGCTCACCTGGAACTGCAGCAGCTCCAGCTCCTCGTGGTCCAGCGGCTGCAGCGCGTACACCTTGCCGCTCTCCGCGTGCACCGACACGTAGCTCGACAGCGCGCGCTCGCCCACCCGCCGCTCCACCAGCGAGTACGACACGCGCGCGTTCTCCTGCGCGTCCGCGTCGCGCGCCCACACCGTGAAGATGTGCGAGCCGGGCGCGTTGTTCTCCTTCACGAACACCGTGTACTCGGCCTGTGCGAACACGGGCGCGTTGTCGTTCACGTCGGCCACCTCCACCGACACGCTGGCGGTGGCCCACAGCGGAGGCGAGCCCCCGTCACGCGCGGTCACCACCACCTTATACTCAGAGGTGGTCTCTCGGTCCAGAGCGCTGTCCAGCACCAATGAATAGTAATTTTTGAAAGTGGACACCAGCTTGAAAGGAGTGCGGGGCATTAGGGAACAGGTCACTTGTCCATTGGCACCAGAGTCACGGTCGGACACACTGATCAGAGCAATGACAGCATTAGGCTGAGTGTCTTCTTTGACAGGGAGTGACAGGGAAGTGATAGTTACCTCTGGTGCATTGTCATTTATGTCTAGTACTTCCACCAAAAGAGTACAATGACCTGTCATTGGAATGTTTCCTTTATCAATTGCCTCCACTGGAATTTCATAAAACGTGTTTTCTTCAAAATCCAGTCTGCCTTTTGTCCTAATTTCTCCACTGTAGGGATTTATGTCAAATGCATATAGCACTGCGGGAGATATAGGTCTTCTAAAGGCGTAGAATACATCTCCATTTGTACCATGATCCGGATCTGTGGCATTTAGTTTGAGTATCAATGTCCCATTGAATACATTCTCCAGCACTCTGACTTTATAAATGAGTCGATCAAATTCTGGGGCATTGTCATTCACATCAGCAATGGTGATGAGCAGCTGCACTGTGCCGGTGAGCTCGGGTTTACCTCCATCAGTGGCTCTCAATAATAAACTATGCTCCTCAATTTCCTCTCTGTCCAATGTTCTCTTTAATACTAGTGACAATGAAGACATTTGCTCACGCTTGTTTGGTGTGTCTAAAGCGAAATAATCGTTGGGATCTAGACGGTAAGTCAAGGCCGAGTTTACTCCAATATCTGCATCAGATGCGCCATCTAGTGGAAATCTCGTTTCTGGAGGTCTAGATTCTGCAATGATTATGCTTTTGTTCCTTTCAGGAAATACTGGTGGGTTATCATTAATATCTTTCACCTCCACCTCCACGTGGAACACCTGCAGCGGTCTGTCCACGATCACCTCCAGGTGCAGGCTGCACTCCGCGCTGCGCCCGCACAGCTCCTCCCGGTCGATCCGACCATTCACAAACAAAATGCCATTCTGCAGATTTACCTCCAGAAGGTCCCCGCCGCCCTTGGACGCCACCCGGAACAGGCGCGGCACCAGCTCTGTCAGCTCCAGCCCCAAGTCCTGCGCGATGCGACCCACGAAGGTGCCGTGTTTGGCCTCCTCGGGGACGGAGTAGTGGAGCTGGCCGCTCCCAGATTCCCAGGTAGCAAGGAGCAGAAGCGAGAGCATCAGGCTCCAGGATCCTCGGCTTCTTTGCCAGGAAAACCGCATGATACACTCAAAAGGCTACAGTATATAAAATATTTTACCTGAAAGTGCCTCGCAAGGACCAGTTTTTATGACGTCCTAGTGCAGGAGAATTTGCCACAGATTTTCAAATACCTGGCAAATTTTCTGGAGGAAGAAACGGTAGCTTTCTCTTCAGAAGTGTTTCAGTGAAGAGCGACACCATGTGCATGAGTGTGTAAGTGTAAGGATGAATATCTTCCCATTTCCCAGCGATTTAAGAGCTTTATTTATCTTCTGATTTTTATTGCAAATATGTGGTTGAAGATTCAATGTTTGCCTTTCCAGAAGTAGTCATTCTATTCCACTCTGCCTTGAATGATGTTTTGTGTCTTCCACTTTTTCCACAATATATTTTACATGTGTAAATTAATATGCAAATCTTTAAATGGAGAATATCATACATGTTTTTTGGATCAATCATCTTCTAGTTCTTTTAGGCCCTTAGGCCTTGGTGGTAACGTCCTTTTTTGTGATATTTTTCAAGACCTTACACACACAACAGCCGTTGACTCCAAATGGAAACTTAGCAGTAACATAATGAAACCAATATTGGCAGATGTCGGTAAGTAATATACCTGATTTGGAAGCTAGGGGTGTGGTTCAAATGGTAGAGGGACAGCCAAGCAAGCACAGGCCCTGATTTCAAATCTCAGTTCCAGATAAAAAGTTCAATGAATACATCATTTATACATTCTTCTGAGTGTGAAGTATGAATATACTTTTGCTTGTAGGAAATGTCTACTCAAATGTGAGTGTGGTTTATACATAAGCACACAGTAATCTGTACAACAATGTTCTAAATTTTTCAGTTCTCTTTGTAGAAAATACAGCAAAAACAACCTGTGCATTTAATAATGTTTAAAGCACTTACAGATTAAATTTCTTTTTTTCTCCCCAATCTTATTTCATCATTACTGAACCTTACTATCATCTAAATTGATTCTAGTGTCCCAAGTCTATAACAATAACTACACAAAGATGTTAATACATCTTTAACAAGAAAGAGAAAGGAATTGTGCTTTTTTCTGTTGCTATGGATACCAAGTCATAAAATTCCAGGCTACATACCATAATGAAAAATAGACTGTAGCTCTAATAATTACCATGTTTATTCTGAGTATACTTGAAATGGTAGTATCCATAACCATTTGTATTCATTTCTCTGGCTCACCTGAAAATTTATGTGGAGTATTTGGTATTCTCTTGCCCGCCTAATCCTCTCCTGGTCCATCATTTTAATATATTTCACTCTTACAATATTCTTGCTCTTACAATAGTCCCTTGATTTATTCAAGTACTTTTTATCTATCAGACTCTACTTACATTGCTTCACTTCTCCACCTACACCACATCGTCAATCATTTACTGTATAGACATGAGACACCCTCAAATCATTCATCTATTTAAATTCTTCTGCTAACATTCTCTTTAGACGCCAACATACATTTTCTCCATTCTTCCTATTGGTCTGCTCAAAAAAAGTTCTTGTTTAACCATGATAAATCTAATAAATCATCTTTAATTCAACTCTCAAAAAAATTTATAATCTTCTGTCTCAACTTCAGCCCTACTACGACTTTCACATCATCTTCCCTTTGAGATATAAATCATAAAAAGTAACTTAAGGGCTCTTTTTTTTACATCAATACTTTTCTATAAAAGTATCTATTTTTCCCTATTGGTTCAAAGAAAAATGGTCCACCATTTTAAGACAATACTATTTTCCATTCTTTTCTTCTTAACATTTTCATCTTCACCTTCATTCCCTGATGCCTGTCTTTCCTTTAGTGTCTCCTTTAGTTACTTCTTTCTTGCACCTATAAGATACTCAAACACTTCTAATTATGTACTTAAACATAATACTTCTAGAAAAAACTGCTGTTTATCTCCTTTTCTTCGCCTATGATTAACATGCATATTTATTTTATGTGGGCTAGCAGTTGCCTATTCTCCCTGTGATTTTAAGTCTATTGTAGGTCAAATAAAAAGGTTCTCCTCTCAGTTCTCCAGAGGAAACACAGCCTAATCAACTCCTGATCCAAGGCTGTGAGAGAATAATTTTTTTTTATCTTATACCACTCTTTGGTCATTTCTTATAGCAGCCCTAAAAACTGATACAACTTCCCACCTAAATTCTTTCCTTGTACATTATTTTTTCAAACTCTCTTAATGATTTTATACTTTCACAATTTTATTTTTCATAAAGGAATTACTCTCAAATCATTATCTATAATCTGAGTTCCACACCCATATTTTCAATTGCAATAAAATTATCTTAGAAACTCTAAATTAGTATGTTATTAAATGTTACTTTCCAATCCCTTACTGAACACACACACACGCACACACACACACACACACACACACACACACACACACACCACAATTTCTTCAGCTCGGCTGGAAAATATAGTTTGGGGAAATCTCATTCTCCCAGTTGACCAAACAAAAAGAGCAAATGCTATCAACTTTATAATTTCTCTTGTATGTCTTTAGTCAGTCATCATTTCCTGTTTCTATTTTGCTAATGCCTCTTGTATGTGGTTCTTTTGATTCATCTCTATTGCCATAATTTAAGTCTCCATGTCTCTTGATATCTAAATTCTTATAGAATATTATCTACTGGTTTTCCATACTTCAGAATCTCTAGTTCTTTGAGTATACATTCAACAAAGAGAACTAAGCTCATTTATTTTCCCCCTGTAACTCTTTTCTATTGAAAGGTTATCTGTCCTTCAAGACATATTGGCATAAAATAATGTCTAATCACTGGACCTCACTCCCTTCTAAGATAGGGAATATTTCCCAGCCAATATATTTCAACATATTAGTTCAAGAATGATCAATTAAACATATGCTATATTCCAAAGGAAGAGATATTGGAAGAGAAGCAAATGTTAGAACTTTAATGCCTTCCAAACCAGGCAAAGAGGTAAAAAGTTTTATATTCTGATCAAAGAGAAGCTTTTTAATACATTTGTAGAAGAAACTTGCAAAACATAAAATGTGCTTTTGAAGGTTCACCTATAATGGGAACAGAGTAGTATAACAACATAATGACTTTGGAATCCTGGGAAACTAGGTTATGAACCACTTCTCAATATCTGTGGGACTTCATTTTTATCTGTAAAATATGGCTGGTAGCTGTAGAACTTGCACTGTATACCTTATTTGATAATTTATGGAAGTAATTCAACTGAAAGTATCAATAGATGACCTGGACAGCCACAGAGGTCCCTATGTATTCTGACACTTTAAATCAGAGAATCTCATCAACCATGGAAGGTGTTGCCCTACAATTTGAGGGGCTGAAGCAGGAGGATTTTTAAGGTTAGCACCACCCTAGACTACAAAATGAGCCACGTGTCAACAGAAAAGAAAATATAAGAACTGAGGATGTAGATTCAGGATAATGTGCTTACCTAGCATTCAAAGGCCATGAGTTTAGTCTCCAACACCTCAAAAACAATAGCATTAATTGTAAGATGTGCTATTATTTATGTGCCACCAAGAGAGAAAAAATCCAAACAAATTGTTTTCAGCTATCATTTAGATTATATTTAAATTATTTAAATTAACGATTTTGTTATATTTTATGTATATAAAAATAGCATAGTGGCCGATGTCACTTAAAATAACAAGGTGTTACTCAAAAGACGAATGTAAGACCAAAAGAAGCTCAGGAACGGCCCCCAAGCTCTGATTTCAAACCGTCCAAGACTGGGACAAAAACAAACAGGATGACATTATGAAGGAAAATAAAATACAGATGTAATTATAAACCAAGGCATTAAAAGAAACAAAAATAGTTGAATGATGCCAATTACTTACTTCGCTGAGATGATTTAAACCATCCTCTTGAGGTTGTGGAAGACAAGGACTGAAGGCCATGAGATCCGCATTGGATGGGACCACTCCTGAGCACACCCTTTGCCGCCTCTGTTGGGAGTAGGACAAACTCCCCACCGCGCTGGAGCACACCAGCACAGGCTTCCCAGATGTGCAAGTGCCCTGTACAGGCGCCGCCCAGCAGCGTAGGGCTGTGTACGAGAACAGCGTGAGCACCAACAGACTGGACACCGCGCAGATGGCGATGATCAGGTACACATTCACACCCACTAGCGAGGTATCTGGGCCAACAACACCCAAAGATACCCGGGAAGTCTTAGGCTCCTGGCTGCTGTCCACCAGAGACACCAGCACCGTGGCGGTGGCCGTCAGCGCCGGCTCGCCATGGTCCTTCACCAGCACCAACAGGCGCTGCCTCGCGGCGTCCGCCTCTTCCAGCGCGCGCGTGGTGCTGATCTCGCCCGTGTACAGTCCCACGCGGAACGCGCTGCGCGCACCGGCCGCCGCCGGCTGCAGCTCGTATGACAGCCACGCGTTGTAGCCAGAGTCCGCGTCCACCGCGCGCACCTTGGTCACCACGTGGCCAGCGCCCACCGAGCGCCACAGCACTTCGCTGCGCGCGCCGCCGCCGCCAGCCCCGGGAGGCCCCAGCAGCGCAGGCGCATTGTCGTTCTCGTCCAGCACGAACACCTGCAGAGTCACGTTGCTGCCCAGGGTGGGCACGCCAGCGTCGCGCGCGCTCACCTGGAACTGCAGCAGCTCCAGCTCCTCGTGGTCCAGCGGCTGCAGCGCGTACACCTTGCCGCTCTCCGCGTGCACCGACACGTAGCTCGACAGCGCGCGCTCGCCCACCCGCCGCTCCACCAGCGAGTACGACACGCGCGCGTTCTCCTGCGCGTCCGCGTCGCGCGCCCACACCGTGAAGATGTGCGAGCCGGGCGCGTTGTTCTCCTTCACGAACACCGTGTACTCGGCCTGTGCGAACACGGGCGCGTTGTCGTTCACGTCGGCCACCTCCACCGACACGCTGGCGGTGGCCCACAGCGGAGGCGAGCCCCCGTCTCGCGCGGTCACCACCACCTTATAGTCAGAGATGGTCTCTCGGTCCAGAGTGCTATCCAGTACCAATGAATAATAGTTTCTGAAGGTGGACACGAGCTTGAAGGGGAGGTGTGGTGTCAGAGAACAGGTCACCTGTCCATTGGCACCAGAGTCACGGTCGGACACGCTGATCAGGGCAATGACCGTGCCCACTTGCGCATCCTCTGGCACAGGGAGTGACATTGAAGTAATGATTATCTCCGGTATGTTGTCATTCAGGTCCAGAACTTCCACCAGAACCATGCTGTGCCCTACCATGGAAGGAATTCCTTTATCAATGGCATTAATTTGAATTTCATAAGCATTGTTCTCTTCATAATCAAGGTTCCCATAAATTCTAATGTCACCAGTGTCTGCATTTATTGAAAATAGACATTTTTCGCTCCTTGGCATAATCTTTCTGATTCCATAGGAAATTTCTCTATTCAAACCTTCATCTGGATCAGAAGCGTTTACTTGAATTACTCTTGTGTCATTTTGGACATTTTCAAACAGCATAACTCTATAACTAGGCTTATCAAACTCAGGTGCGTTGTCATTTACATCCAAGATGGTTACTTGAATCTGAGCAGAGCCTGTTAACTCTGGTTTACCTCCATCAATGACCATCAGCGATAAGCTCAGTTCTTGCGTTTCTTCTCTATCCAGTAACTTCCGAAGAATTAATACAGGCAATACATTCTTATCCTTTTTTGTTACTATTTTAAGTGCAAAATACTCATTTACACTTAACATGTAGGTCAGAAGAGAGTTAACACCTATATCTGCATCAGAAGCGCCCTCTAGAGGAAACTGACTGTCCAGAGGGACAGACTCATAAATGAGTACCTTCTGTTCTATTTCTGTGAAAAAAGGCGGGTTGTCGTTAATGTCCTTCACCTCCACCTCCACGTGGAACACCTGCAGCGGCCTGTCCACGATCACCTCCAGGTGCAGGCTGCACTCCGCGCTGCGCCCGCACAGCTCCTCCCGGTCGATCCGACCATTCACAAACAAAATGCCATTCTGCAGATTTACCTCCAGAAGGTCCCCGCGGCCCTTGGACGCCACCCGGAACAGGCGCGGCACCAGCTCTGTCAGCTCCAGCCCCAGGTCCTGCGCGATGCGGCCCACGAAGGTGCCGTGTTTGGCCTCCTCGGGGACCGAGTAGTGGAGCTGGCCGCTCCCTGATTCCCAGGCAGTGAGGAGCAGAAGCGAGAGCAGCAGACGCTGGGACCTCAGCCTTCCTCCCCAGATAAACACCATTGCAGACAATGCGGTCTTTGAAGTGGAACTGCCTATTTTAAAGAAGCACTAGCAGGAGATCTTTTATGAAGAGTCTCCGATTTCTGTAAGTATCTATGCAGTAAGTTTTGTCCAGAGTTCCGGTCACTATGGAATCAGTCCTCTTCTATGAATGGTTGGAATGTGGGTGCGGTGACAAAATGTTCCTTTTTCATTATTCTGAGTTTATAGCGACATCATGCGACAGATTATGTATATACAAGATAAATCCTTAGATTCTTTATAGATACACCATTTGTTGGTCACTCTTATTCAATTCTTGGATATTTTTATGCATCATTTTAATGATAGTATTTATATCCACGTATTTATATACAAATATATATATGGTATATATACACATATGATATAGTAACAAAACAAAAATACGTCAACTATGTAATTTTTTAAAACTTCTGATCCAAAGCTTATCACTAATCTTTGAAATATGGCCTGATTGAAGCTATTCTTTAACTATCATGGAGAATAATATAAAGAACAATATACCTAATTCCTGCCTGATTATGACTTACAATTCAGTGTTTTATTTTTATTCTTTTTGAAGCAGTTTATAGAACATTTGGAAGGAATTATATACCATCGAATAAATGAAACTAAAATGTTTAAAAACTAACCATTATTTCATTATCTAAATTGTTTTAGTCATAAACCAGTAAATATTAGAATTCATAAAAAATAAGTGAAGTGTTATTACTTTTGGTTCCTTGGTGCTTAATTATGATGGCTTTTATGGCCACAGTTCTCACTCCTCTAACATTTTAAAGCAAAACCTGAGTATCAGTTCTATGGAGTTCAGTTCTAGCAAGATGAATTTTTTTTCATGTAAAATGTTGAGTCAAAGCTTCCAAATCTCACAGCATTCTATAGTGACAATGGAAGACTAATATAGAAAAGACCTCCAAGTATTTTGGAGCCAAATCTGATATTTATTTCCTCTCTAAATCTTCCTCTATAGGACAATTAGTAGTTACTCAGAATGTACTGCTCTTCAGAAAATCAGAATGGAGACTATGATGCAAGTGAGAATCAAAAAATCATTTATAATATTATTGATTAACTCAAGACTAGAATGTCACAGTGAACAAGTAACTGTAGATTTCATAAGCTCATGAATGTACACATCAAAAAAATCTAAGTGCATAATTTTCTGCCAGCCTTTTACATTTAATAATAACAACTGAGAGACCTTGATAAAACAACAAGCAAAATACAACTGAGAATGGTTCCACAAGCATAAATCAATCCTAAAACTGCCTACTTGATAAAGGTTTGAATTTTGGTGTTTCCAGACTATTTATATTATCTAATGTCATCATGAAGTCTTTCATTCTATATTTTCCATTTTCAAAAATGTCAGCATACCATAATTGCAAAAGAACTTTAATGAAAAACAGTGCATTTTGTAGCTCTCACACACTGTTTGAGATAATAAAATTATTAAAGAAATAGAATTCTAAATTTAGCTTTCACAAGGTTGAACTAGAAAATAAAATGGAGCTATAATTTTATACTAAAGAATGTAATCTTATGAAGACTAAACATAAATCTGTTTTTTAAAAAATTAGTTCATTAATTATTTTTGTCATGCACAAGTAATGATTGATCAAATTTAATCAAAATAACCCAATGTCTTTTTTTAAATTTCAACTTAAATTTCAACCTTTACTTAGGGATAGGCAATAATGTATGACCTACATAAAATTCACATTTATTATCTTTACATGGTTCCAACATCGATATAATAATTTAACCACTTTTCCTTCAAAGATTTTGTTTTTGTTTTTGTTTTTTGGTTGTTTTTTTTTGGGGGGGGGGGGTCCGGTCATGGGGCCTGAACTCTGGGCCTGGGTGCTGTCCCTCAGCTCTTCAGCTCAAGGCTAGCGCTCTACCACTTGAGCCACAGCACCACTTCCGGCTTTTTTCTTTTTTCTTATGTGGTGCTGAGGAATCGAACCCAGGGCCTTGAGCATGCAAGGCAAGCGCTCTACCACTGAGCCACCTTCCCAGCCCTCAAAGATGTTTTATATTTTGTATCACATTGCCTAATTTTAAATACTTGAAACTGGTTTTATTGAATTGATGCTGAACTATGATGTTCTTGTCCCAAGAATCAGAAATGAGCTTCAGCATGCATTCCTTTAAAATACTGTGGCAAGGGCTGGGAAGTTGGCTCAATGGTAGAGCGCTTGCCTTGCATGCCTGAGGCCCTGGGTTCTATTCCTCAGCACCACATAAGCAAAAAGAAAACAGCCGGAAGTGGCGCTGTGGCTCAAGTGGTAGAGCACTAGCCTTGAGCTGAAGAGCTGAGGGACAGCGCCCAGGCCCAGAGTTCAGGCACCACGACCGGACTCCCCCCCCCCCCCCCAAAAAAAATACTGTGGCAAATGGTTTGGTATGTTAAGGGAAAATGGCCATTTGTGAGCCTTAAAGGTGTTGTGGTTCCATCACTCTACAGCATCTTAGCGTCAAAGAGAAGAACAATAGTCTAGGGATAAACGATGTTTCTCACACTCTTTTCATATGATTATCCCATATGGAAAGGAAAACTAACAAACATTAAAGATAGTCATTAGAAATAAAGCCATTAAAATATCAAATATATGCAACAATTGTCAGCAAGCATTTATCTTCATAGAGAAAACTTCTGGAAAAGTAGTAAAGAAATCTAATGAGGAGCTAGTGAGTGCCAGTTGCTCATATCTATGACCCTAGCTACTCAGGAGGCTAAGATCTGAGGATCATGGTTCCAAGCCAGCCCAGGTAGAAAAGTCCCTGTGAGAATATGTAAATGGCACTGTGGCCCAAAGTGGTAAAACCTTAGCCTACAGCAAAAGCACTTAGGGACAGAGCCCAGGCCCTGAGTTCAAGCCCTACAAACAACAAAAATAAAAAACTAATGAACAGATAAAGCAGATATTATGGCTCATATATGACTAATACATGCATGTCTTAAGCAATGGTGCATTATTTGGTTGAAGAATTTTAATTGCCTTGTTTATTTTGGAAGCTGTCTTGTGTTAACTTGTATTTGACAAATATTTTGCCATTTCATGAGAAAAATCAAGACAAAAATTACATTATTTTAATGCAAGCAGCAGATTAGAATGCAAGATTTGCCTCTTTTTCTCCAAATATGCTGAATTTGGTTGTTCCACAGCAGTAGCACCATTATGAGTACTCAACCCAATAGAAAAAAAATGTAAGTCATTTCAGAGCAAATGAAGAGGGTTCCCAAATTGAAACAAGCCTTTTCTTCAAAGGTCAACTGATCTCATGAAATGAAAATAAAATCACAGCAAAACATTGCTAACAAACATCACCAGTGACTCCCAGTGCTCATCCACATCATTATGATTAGAGATAAAATGGTGTGAGTAGGTCACAAAAAAGAAGCGATTACTTCTGCTCAAGTAACAAAGCAGACAAGTAATCTTTGTCAGTTATTATGCAATTTTCTCACAGATAATTGAAAAAACAAGACATTTTATATTTCATCATCTGATTATATGATTAAAAGACAAGCTATAGGAATTATCCAGCATTGAAGAGACATTGTTGTTTTTAATTTAAAATAGATTAAATTTTTTCACAAAAGTGAATTCCAAACAATTGAACACACACATTTGAAAAGGAGGAATTTATATTTAAAAAAAAAACTCACCTGTGCAAGGTGGTTACATCCTGACTCCTGTCTCTCTCTTTCGTCTTCTCTATCCAAATTGGGAGTCAGACTCGGGCTGAAGGCCATGAGGTCGGTCTTGGGCGGGCCCTCCCCAGAGCACACCCTCTGCCTCCTCTGCTGAGAGTAGGACCAGCTCCCCACCGCGCTGGAGCACACCAGCACAGGCTTCCCAGGCGCGCACGCGCCCTCGCTCCGCCCCACAGCCGCCCCAGAGCACCGCAGCGCCACGTACAGCACCAGCGTCAGCACCAGCAGGCTGCACACCGCGCAGATGGCGATGATCAGGTACACGTTCACGTCCACCAGCGTCGCCTCCGAAGCCACGGCGCCCTCCGATGCACGCAAAGACAGCTTGGGCGATTGGCCGCTGTCCACCAGAGACACCAGCACCGTGGCGGTGGCCGTCAGCGCCGGCTCGCCATGGTCCTTCACCAGCACCAACAGGCGCTGCCTCGCGGCGTCCGCCTCGTCCAGCGCGCGCGTGGTGCTGATCTCGCCCGTGTACAGCCCCACGCGGAACGGGCTGCGCGCACCGGCCGCCGCCGGCTGCAGCTCGTACGACAGCCACGCGTTGTAGCCAGAGTCCGCGTCCACCGCGCGCACCTTGGTCACCACGTGGCCAGCGCCCACCGAGCGCCACAGCACTTCGCTGCGCGCGCCGCCGCCGCCGCCGCCGCCGCCGCCGGGAGGCCCCAGCAGCGCAGGCGCATTGTCGTTCTCGTCCAGCACGAACACCTGCAGAGTCACGTTGCTGCCCAGGGCGGGCACGCCAGCGTCGCGCGCGCTCACCTGGAACTGCAGCAGCTCCAGCTCCTCGTGGTCCAGCGGCTGCAGCGCGTACACCTTGCCGCTCTCCGCGTGCACCGACACGTAGCTCGACAGCGCTGCGCTCGCCCACCCGCCGCTCCACCAGCGAGTACGACACGCGCGCGTTCTCCTGCGCGTCCGCGTCGCGCGCCCACACCGTGAAGATGTGCGAGCCGGGCGCGTTGTTCTCCTTCACGAACACCGTGTACTCGGCCTGTGCGAACACGGGCGCGTTGTCGTTCACGTCGGCCACCTCCACCGACACGCTGGCGGTGGCCCACAGCGGAGGCGAGCCCCCGTCACGCGCGGTCACCACCAACTCATAGTCAGAGGTGGTCTCTCGGTCCAGGGCGCTGTCCAGCACTAATGAGTAATAATTTTTGAAGGTGGACACCAGCTTGAAGGGTGTGTCAGGCGTCAGGGAGCAGGTCACCTGCCCATTGACCCCAGAGTCAAGGTCGGACACGCTAATCAAGGCAATCACGGTGCTGGGCTGAGCATCCTCAGGGACTGAGAAGGACAGAGAATTCACGATGATTTTAGGGGAATTATCATTAGTGTCTAAGATTGCTATCCAAACGGTACAGTGACCGGCCATTGGGGGAGTCCCCTTATCTGTGGCTTGCACTTCAATTTCATAAAACTTATTTTCTTCATAATCTAAAGATCCATTGACCCTCATTTCTCCATTATTTTCATCTAGTGTAAATAAGTGTCTTCCATTGGGTTTGATGGATAACAAGGAGTAGGTTACCTCGCGGTTTACTCCTTCATCTCTATCCGTGGCGTTCAGCTTTATCACAAGAGTTTCTTCTGGAATGTTTTCCATCAGCTTTACTCTATATTCTAACTGATCAAATTCCGGATCGTTGTCGTTAACATCCAAGACTTGAACAAACAGCTGAACTGTGCCTGTAAGTTCCGGTTTTCCTCCGTCGGTAGCTGTCAGTAGCAAATTAAATTCCGGGATTTTTTCTCTATCCAGAGACTTTTTTAATACAAGGGACAGTCTTTTCATCTGCTTACTATTTGTTGGTGACTCCAGAGAAAAATACTCATTTTGACTCAGTCTGTAGGCCAGCACCGCGTTCTCTTCTATATCCGCATCAGACGCGCCCTCTAGCGGAAAGCGGGACTCGGGTTGCTTAGATTCAGAAATCAGCAGCTTTTGTTCTTTGAGAGAGAAGACCGGCGGGTTGTCGTTAATGTCCTTCACCTCCACCTCCACGTGGAACACCTGCAGCGGCCTGTCCACGATCACCTCCAGGTGCAGGCTGCACTCCGCGCTGCGCCCGCACAGCTCCTCCCGGTCGATCCGACCATTCACAAACAAAATGCCATTCTGCAGATTTACCTCCAGAAGGTCCCCGCCGCCCTTGGACGCCACCCGGAACAGGCGCGGCACCAGCTCTGTCAGCTCCAGCCCCAGGTCCTGCGCGATGCGGCCCACGAAGGTGCCGTGTTTGGCCTCCTCGGGGACGGAGTAATGGAGCTGGCCGCTCCCGGTCTCCCAGTATGCCAGGAGCAGAAGCGAGAGCAGAAGTCGCAGATTACCCAATCCCCTTCTCTGAAAGCCTACCATTGCATATGAAATTGGCTTCTAAAATAAAAATTCTTTACACTTACAGTACCAGAGACTTCAGTTCAGGTTTAATGTCGCGCTGAATTTTTGAGAAGGTTCAAAGGATCCTTTTACAGCGTTCAGCTTATGCTGAATGCCGGACTGTGCAGCCCAAGCTATGGCCGAACTCTTTCCCTCAAGTAAAGAGCGACACCTGGTGCCTGAAATTGTGAGTACTTTCCATTTCACCCACTATTTCGTAAACGTTTTTCCGTAAATAATTCCAAAATTCTTATTCATGAAATATTCAGAGTTTAAGTTACATTCACACCAAATACATATGGAAATAGCTCTTTATTTCTTGGCTAACATATTTTAAACATTGTTTCTATTTCGTTGAGTTAATTTTTCTTTTGCTCCCCTAAATATTTAGAGGGAAAAATGGTTTTTTAAATATCATGTTAAAACTAGGATAACCATTTCCTGAAGGCCTTTGTCCCGCATATAAAAATATCAAATTTGAATTCCCTTAAGTCCAGCCTTCCTGGTTACTTAGGCTGCTAGGAAGCTCAGGGGAAAAGAAAATGCATTTGACAGTGGGGGGGGGGGGGAGTGTTTTTTGCTGAACCGGGAGCCTTGTGTATATTCAGTAAGTGTTCTACCACTGAGCTACAGGCCTAGACTTCATGTTCTACATGCTATGTTCTTATCCATGCCAATGATCCTTCTCAAAACTCTTAATTTCTTGACGATGACCAGTAATACTAGTATAAATATATATGTGGTATAACTCAGTGTTTCAGCACATATATCTATTGTGTCATGCTCAAATCAGGGTTATTAACATATCCAGAACTTTAAATATTTGTCATTTCTTTGACATGAAAATGCAAAAAACTCTCTTTTACTTATATTGAAGTATATAGTGCACTATACCATATCTATGTTCTTCTGATTTGCTATTGCATTCAATTACAAGTAACTTTATGTCCATTTAAAAACAAGAGAGCAATCAGAAAAGCCTTCGAATTTTGTCATTTAAAACATAGAAAACATAAAAAATGGGAAAAATCTGATAAAGATGAATTTTTCATTGATGTGATTAATGTGATTTCTCACATTAGTTGCATTGTTAATAGTATAAGAGTTCAAAATGTAGCTGGGCGCCAGTGCCTCACATCTAAATATTCCTAGCTACCCAAGAGGCTGAGATCTGAGAAAGTAGGAAAGTCCATGAAATTCTTATCTCCAATAAACCACCAGAAAACCGGAAGTGGTGATGTGACCCAAGTGGTAGAACACTCACCCTGAGCTGAAATGCTCAGGGACAGCATCCAGGTCCAGAGTTCAAGCTCGACAATCATTTTTTTAAAAAAGATTTCAAAATAAGAGTCAATGATATTACAGAAGTAATCTTTTGGAATTTTATTATCATTAATTAAAATCAACATGGAAATATCTGTACTATTTGGTCTTTCCACATAAGCAATTTGGTTTCATTAATTCAATCAAGATATACTGATGAAATGGTTTGTTGTAGAAGGATCAAGTTTGCAATCAATGACAAATCAATCCTTGGTTCAAGGGAAATGATTCTTGAATATATTTTTACTCAGTGTCTGATATTTATTAAACCATAGAAAATAGTCAAACAAGCAAGCAGTTAGACTAAATGACTATTGTCTTGAAGATTAGAATGGAATTTTATACAGTACTAAGTAATAAATAGGAATAGTTGATTTTAGTTTTCTAGTCTTGAAATTTTTCCCTGTATTTTCATATTCACTTGACACTAGGGAGGAAAGAAGAAATGATGCAACAAAAATTTAGAGAAACAAGTGATTCAGAATAAATATCATGCTAGCTTGAATATTTTAACCTAGGAGAGATGATGGTATCACACATTTGAATTAAAACAAGATGCTACTTTAAGTGTTAATTGCAAATAGTACATTAATTTATTTATATATAAAGTGCACTGAGTGAACACCCCGTCATTAAATAATTTGATTAGATGTTTGAATCTGTAAGATGGTAATGATCCATTGTTTGCATGTTTGGGCTGTGGTATTTCAGGTGTTACCATCTCAACCCCTCCCAGAGTAAATATTTTGCTCTTTCTGAACTCATATTTGTAAATAGGCCTAAAATCTGGCTATTGACAATATGGAGAAATTTTATCAGCTTCATTGTTCCAATGACTTTGCAGATGCAATTGTGCCTGACTTTTACTAAACTAATGCAATTAGTCTTAAATTCTGTTTTTGCCTGTTCATCATATATTAGAGTACAACATCTTATATTCTATTGGCCTTATTATCATCTATTAATATGCCATGTAATTCTAGTGCTATTTCTGAAAACAAACAGAAATAAAATGTGAAACCACCTTGGAACCCCAAGAGATTATTCAAAATCAGACTATACATTTCTCTCCAAGTATTGTACTAACAAAACTGTAGAATTTACTCAATGGTGTTGACTCTGCTCTGTCATGGATTACTCAAGTAAACAGAGCTATTTGACCTCAAATCATTTGTTTGGTTTGTATGATGCAAACAATGCTAGATCCATAAAGACCTATTTACAACTAAAGAATTTCATAGGAAACCACTATCTTAAAATTGTTAATAAAATATGCAATACTGTAAACACCATGAAGCTATCATTAAAGAATCTTGATACTGCGTGGCAAAAGGTCCTCAAGCCTCTAATCCTGTCTATTTGGAAGACAGAGTTCAGGGGATCACAGTTGGAGAACAGTTGGAGGAAAAAGTTTGCAACTAATGTATTGAAGTCCTCAACCAATGTATTGAACAGAGAGAAGATCTGAATAAAGCTCTACATTCCCTTGAAAAAAAGAATGGCTTGCTCCATGCCAGTGGCTTGCCTTTGTAATACTAATTACTCAGGAAACTGAAATGTGAGGATTGAGATTCAATGACAGCCCTAGCAGAAAAAGCCAAGAGATTCTATCTCCAATTAACCAGCAAAATTCAGTACTAAGGTATGGCTTAAGTGCTAGAACACCAGCCATGAGCAAAAAGCCTAGCAATAGCAGAAGGCCCTACCTGAATTCAAGACACACACACACACACACACACACACACACACACACACACACACACACACACACACACACACACACACACACACACACACACACACACGTGGAGAAAGAAAGTGAAAGAATGAATCTAATTCTTAAGTATATTTATAGGACAGCCAAATTTGGTGGACAAAAGTAGGTAAATAACAGCTTCTCTTATCTTTAAAATTTGGAGTCATATGTACATTACTTTGCAAATTATTCTAAGGACTAAATGAAATAATAGATATTAAGCCCTTCACACCATATCAAGCAAATACAAATAACTTACAAAATGGTAGTTCATTATATGAAAAGCAAAAAATGCCATCAATGAAAATACTCTATCAAAATAAGCTAGAATATAGGAGGTTTTCCTAATGTTCATCTTCATAGATAGTATCCTCCCCAAATTCAACATTGAAGACAGAAATTGCCCCGATACTTCAGCTATTCTATTAACTTCACCATTTTTATAGCATGGTTTTCCCTTCAATATGTGCATACTGATCTATGGTTTTTACTTCCAGATAGATAGATAGATAGAACTTATTTCTTCACATTAAAATTATAATTAGAACCCAAAAGAGCCAGGTACCAGTAGCTCATGCCTGTAAAGCTAGCTAGCTGAGATCTGAGGATCACAGTTCAAAGCCTGCCCAGTCAGGAAAGTCTATGAAACTCATATATGCAATAAAGCACCAAAGAAAGCCAGACATGAAGCTGTGGCTTACATGATAGAGCACTAGCCTAACACAAAAATGCTCTGGGACAGTGCCCAGATCCTGAGCTCAAGCCCCATGACTGTCAAAAAATAGCACATGCTTATCATCCTAACTTTGTGGGAAGTATAATAAATTGCACTCTAGGCAGTACAGAACAGGAAGTGAGACCCAATCTAAAAATAACCAGTATGCAAAAGGACAAATGTCGATGCAACAGAAGACTGGCTTCTTAGCAAACATGAGAACCTGAGTTCAAACTCCAGTATAAATTTATCTACATTATCCACCTTCAGTTCTGAAGTGTGATCCACATCATGATTGCCAAGTGGAAATGCCTTTATTGATATTTCATGGCACTTATTCTTACCTCATTCAACAGCAACTTGAACTCACATAAACCCATTGGGACAAGTACTTCCCCATGCATGAGAAGACTCTCAAATTCAAAGCACAAAGAAATACAGTTTTTTTCTATCTTAATCACTTCTTTACAACCTCAGGACAACTACCAAGAATGGAAGAAAAATAAGTGGGATTCATGCTCAAATTATAATCTTCTAAGTAAGTACTAAATAGTACATTAAACCTAGGACCCACTATGCATATCATCTTGACAATAAAATTAAAATTAAAAAAACCTGGGGTGAAAATTAATGGACTCAACAATCAGATAAGCCTATTCAAAATGAAGCACCAAAGTGTTCTCTTTAAAGTAAAAGGCTATGAAGAAAACAAGCTTGAAAATATTTAGAGAGGGGCTGGGAGGATGGCTCAGTGGTAGAGCGCTTGCCTTGCATGCATGAAGCCCTGGGTTCAATTCCTCAGCACCACATAAGCAAAAAGAAAAAAGCCAGAAGTGGCGCTGTGCCTCAAGTGGTAGAGCGATAGCCTTGAGCTGAAGAGCTGAGGGACAGTGCCCAGGCCCAGAGTTCAGGCCCCATAACCGGAAAAAAAATAAAAGAAAATATTAAGAGATTAATGACATAAAAGAAAGATCACTTCCAAACTCAAGGAGACACCTCTATTCACTGCTACCACCATCTCTGAGAAGCATGCCATTAAACATTAAATTCATCAAAAATATGGTGGTTGGATCATACATTATATATTATTAAAGTTAAGAATTAAATGATGTTTGAAAACAAAAATTATGAAACTGAATATCGCTGAGTCTGTTGACTATGTATTCATAGTAAGGACTAGAAGACACCAGGTAGAATAGAAAAACTTTCTACATAAATGAGAAGTAGACTTCAGCTGTGCCTCTATTCTATATTTCAGCCATCTTCACAGCAGACTTAATTCCTATATCAGCAGCAGTACACAACGAATATTCATAGTAAGTGTAGTGAGAAGCAAGGAAATAAGCTAGTATTTCCAGTGTACCTTAAATAAGCCATTCCAAGAAAAAGACTAAAATGAAACAAATATATGAAACCCACTAACTCAAATAATAAATTGATGAACCACATGAACAACATAAACACATGAATTAAAATCCATGATTACTATACTTACATTCCCAAAGTTCTCTTGTTGGACTCCACTATCTCCAGAAACTGAACTAGGAGGAAGACCAGGACTGAAGGCCATGAGGTCGGTCTTGGGCGGGCCCTCCCCAGAGCACACCCTCTGCCTCCTCTGCTGAGAGTAGGACCAGCTCCCCACCGCGCTGGAGCACACCAGCACAGGCTTCCCAGGCGCGCACGCGCCCTCGCTCCGCCCCACAGCCGCCCCAGAGCACCGCAGCGCCACGTACAGCACCAGCGTCAGCACCAGCAGGCTGCACACCGCGCAGATGGCGATGATCAGGTACACGTTCACGTCCACCAGCGTCGCCTCCGAAGCCACGGCGCCCTCCGATGCACGCAAAGACAGCTTGGGCGATTGGCCGCTGTCCACCAGAGACACCAGCACCGTGGCGGTGGCCGTCAGCGCCGGCTCGCCATGGTCCTTCACCAGCACCAACAGGCGCTGCCTCGCGGCGTCCGCCTCGTCCAGCGCGCGCGTGGTGCTGATCTCGCCCGTGTACAGCCCCACGCGGAACGGGCTGCGCGCACCGGCCGCCGCCGGCTGCAGCTCGTACGACAGCCACGCGTTGTAGCCAGAGTCCGCGTCCACCGCGCGCACCTTGGTCACCACGTGGCCAGCGCCCACCGAGCGCCACAGCACTTCGCTGCGCGCGCCGCCGCCGCCGCCGCCGGGAGGCCCCAGCAGCGCAGGCGCATTGTCGTTCTCGTCCAGCACGAACACCTGCAGAGTCACGTTGCTGCCCAGGGCGGGCACGCCAGCGTCGCGCGCGCTCACCTGGAACTGCAGCAGCTCCAGCTCCTCGTGGTCCAGCGGCTGCAGCGCGTACACCTTGCCGCTCTCCGCGTGCACCGACACGTAGCTCGACAGCGCGCGCTCGCCCACCCGCCGCTCCACCAGCGAGTACGACACGCGCGCGTTCTCCTGTGCGTCCGCGTCGCGCGCCCACACCGTGAAGATGTGCGAGCCGGGCGCGTTGTTCTCCTTCACGAACACCGTGTACTCGGCCTGTGCGAACACGGGCGCGTTGTCGTTCACGTCGGCCACCTCCACCGACACGCTGGCGGTGGCCCACAGCGGAGGCGAGCCCCCGTCACGCGCGGTCACCACCAACTCATAGTCAGAGGTGGTCTCTCGGTCCAGGGCGCTGTCCAGCACTAATGAGTAATAATTTTTGAAGGTGGACACCAGCTTGAAAGGCACGTCTGGCTTCAAGGAACATGTTACTTGCCCATTGACATTTGAGTCAGGATCAGTTACACTAATCAGGGCTATGACGGTTTCCAGTGGGGCATCCTCTCGAATGGGGAGAGACAGCGACGTTACTAACAATTCTGGAGCATTATCATTGATGTCCAAGACTTCTACCAAGATTGTGCAGTGACCAAACATTGGAGGATTGCCTTTATCAACTGCTTCTACTTGAATCTTCCATAATTCGGTTTCTTCAAAGTCAATATTTCCATTTACTTTAATCTCTCCACTGGCTGAATCAATATGAAAAGTAGCCCGAGTCTTAGGAGAAACATCGGTTGCAAAAGAATAAAGAATGTGACTGTTTGAACCTTCATCCAAATCCGAGGCGTTAGGCCTAACCACCACGGTACCATTTCTTGCATTTTCCACTAATTTTACACGATATACTGCTTTGTCAAAAACTGGAGCATTGTCGTTTACATCCAGTACTGTGATAAGTAACTCCACCGCTCCTGTCAGCTCAGGTTTGCCCCCATCCGTTGCTTTAAGCACCAAGCGAAGCTCTGAAGCTACTTCTCTATCTAAATGTTTTTTTAATACTAATTCCAGAGGTTTTACCTGCGCGTCCTTGGTTGGAATTTCCAGGGAGAAATACTCGTTGGGGCTCAGATTATAACTCAAGTAAGCATTAGTGCCAACGTCTGCGTCTGAGGCGCCCTCTAGTGAGAAATGAGAGTCCAGAGCTCTGCTTTCAGAAATAAACAGATTCTTTTGTATCGCGGGAAATATCGGCGGGTTGTCGTTAATGTCCTTCACCTCCACCTCCACGTGGAAAACCTGAAGCGGCCTGTCCACGATCACCTCCAGGTGCAGGCTGCACTCCGCGCTGCGCCCGCACAGCTCCTCCCGGTCGATCCGACCATTCACAAACAAAATGCCATTCTGCAGATTTACCTCCAGAAGGTCCCCGCCGCCCTTGGACGCCACCCGGAACAGGCGCGGCACCAGCTCTGTCAGCTCCAGCCCCAGGTCCTGCGCGATGCGGCCCACGAAGGTGCCGTGTTTGGCCTCCTCGGGGACCGAGTAGTGGAGCTGGCCGCTCCCTGATTCCCAGGCAGCGAGGAGCAGAAGCGAGAGCAGCAGACGCTGGGATCCCTGGTCACCAGGTCTGGCAGTTAAAGTCATTCTCTCTTTTGATTAGTAAAACAAAATTTCATAGCCAAATGCAGTTGTTTTAAGACCTCTTTCTTGAGATCTTCCTGTCGAAGTTCCAGCTAACCTTACAATATGGGTGAATCGGGAGTCTTTAAAGCACCGGAACAGTGGAGTTTTCTTTCTGATCTTCAGATAATGACTTTCTTCTGTTAAAATAATATACTCTTCCTGGAGAACAGCGGCATCCTGTGGCTCAAAGTGTAAGTGCTATTGAATTATCTTCTAGATGCTTTCTGAGAACCTTTACATTTTTGTGTATGTCCTTCTTCAGGGGCTTTAAAAAAGTCTTTTGTATTTCATAGGACCAGTGGAGTATTAAAAGTGGTTTTGTTTTACAATTAGAATTCCATGAAGTTTTTCATATTGGGGATACACATCTAAGAGAATGTACTGCTTCTCTACATGAACTATCATGTATAACGATTTGAATACATTTGTAGAATGTTGGTGATGGGGTTCTTTTTCAGTTTTAAGAAGAAATCATTTTGAATGACGTCTTATCAAGTCTATTCCTAGAAGTCTGAAATTTTTCATTGCTTAATCTTTTTACTGTGTTAAAATGTCCTAAACATAAGGTCTGATTATACAGATGAAAACTCAATATAGCAACCTCAGCACAATGGAATTTCAAATAAAAGCCAATATGCTACTATCCCTCCTTTTTTATTTCTTGTGACATTAATGAGTTTTCCCAGCCTAGGCTCCTGCAATCTCTAAGCAAGTCTGTATATTTTCTCTCACCTTAGAGTTTCTTTCCAATCACTGTATCTTCTTTTTTGTTGTTGGTGGTGGTGGTCATGGGCCTGAACTCTTGCCCTGGGAACTGTCCCTCAGCTCTTCAGGTCAAGGCTAGCGCTCTACCACTTGATCCACAGCACCACTTCTGGCTTTTTCTGCTTATGTGGTGCTGAGAAATGGAATCCAGCACCTCATGCATGCAAGGCAATCACTCTACCACTGAGCCACTTTCCCAGTCCCCCAATCTTCTAAAGGTGAATATATGCCATTTCCATTCTGTAGAACAAATTCACTCTGAATTGTATCCATTGTTTATCTTGTAAAGATAGTCCTTTTCCATTCAGAAATGCCATAAATTTCAATTACATCTGTCTATTTACAAATTTTTCTCAGAATTAATTTGAAGAAACTAGGATACGAAGTTTATTCCAATCCTCATTCACTTAATCGTATTTACTGCTTTTAGCCAAAGTACAATAGCATTTTCATAAAAACTTTTGTCAATGGCAGTAAACTTTATCAGTATTGCCTTAAGAAAAAAGTTGTAATTATTCTCAAGAATATAAGAAACAAATTAGCTAACATCTGAGTACATCCAGTAAAATAGAAGCTATTTAGAAAATCTCAAATTTCCCTACTAAGAAACCACTGTATATGGATAGGCAAGAGTATCTTAGATTTTATATAAAAGTAAGTTTCAGTCTTCTTTTGAACACTTTTTAAGACAGTGATTTAATTATAATAAGTCTATGCTTACATTTATAGTTCTAGTTACTTGTAATTATTTCTATGATGGAAGATGTAAGTCTTAAGCCACCATATTGCATAAAATAATAACAGGAAAAAGTTTAGCCCAGGGAGTTAACTAAATTCACAGAGATAGTAACAAAGAAATTCTTTTTTAAAAACTCCTCTGTTTTCTGATTGAAATAATTTGGTCTCTTTGGAAATGACTCTGAAGTGAAATGAATGTACATGAAACTTCTGTGTTAAGAATTCTGTCACCACCAGGTGCGGGTAGCTTACACCTGTAATCTTAGCTACTCAGGAGGCTAAGATCTGAGGATCGTGGTCCAAAGCCAGTTCAGGCAGGAAAGTCCTTAAGACTATTATCTCCAATTAACCACCAGAAAACTGGAAGCCGTGCTGTGGCTCTAGTGGTAGAGCATTAGCCTTGAGATGAAAAGCTGAAGGACAGCGCCCAGGCCTAGAGGTCAGGCCCCATGACCGACAAAAAAAAAAAAAAAAAAAGACTTCTGTCACCAATTAAGTACATACAAAATGCAATTTGTCAGCTGGGCACTGGTGACTCAACCTGTAATCTTGCCTACTCATGAGACAGTTTGAAGTCAACCCAGGCAGAAAAGTTTTGGGAGATGCTTATCTCCACCTAACCACTCAAAAACCTGAAGTGGCACTGTGGCTCAAGTAATAGAGTGCTAGCCTTTAGCTAGCCTTTAGAGGCTTAGGGATAGCACCTAAGCCCTGAGTTCAAGCCCCACCTTGGACAAAAAATACAATTCATCAAGTTCCAAATCCTGAGGATTTCATATAGCTAATAATTATAGTATCACAATAACCTATGTGTTAGTTATTCGTCTCAAAATATGCTAGTAAGTAAGGTGTGGTAGCTTGTAATACTGGGATTTTGTGAGGCAGAGATCAGCCTGGGTTATATAGCAAGTCCCTCCAAAAGGAAGGAAAAATAAAAATAACTAAAACAGGAACATGAAAAAGAGAGCCAAGTAGCATAAACAATTAAATTGACAAAATGTAACTTGCTATTAGGTCAATAGCTCAGATTTAGAAATACTTCTGAATAAAATCAGCTCTTATTACAGAAAAAGAAGAAATTTTAAAATAGTACTAAATATTCAAAGGTAGGACTGGAAATATAGCTCAATGGGAGAGTATGTATACTATGTATTCGATCCTTGGTCCAGTCCCCAACACAACAATAGCCAACAATTTTTTAAAATAAAAAAGATACTCAGGGAATACCTCTAGTATCTGTGATTAAAACATATCATTCATAAACCTATTAGTCTAGTTTCAAGTGAAGTGTTTACTCTGCATTACTTTAAAGAGCTAGAGTAATTTCTAACAGCTGGAGTCTAGACAGGCCAATGAAAGCATCAAAACTGAAAACATGCTTCAATTCCTGCCCCAATGATCTTGGTGGCATTGCATAAAAATGCCAAAATTTGTTAGAAGTTATTTGGAAGCACACACTGAAAAACATATTCAATCTTTTAAGATAAAAAGGAAAGAAAGCTCGGAGTCAAAGCAGACACTCTGAAAACATTACAGGATGGAACAGGATAAAGCCTAGGTCTTGTTGGCACAGGCAGAAATTTTCTTAATAGAGAGCCAGAAACACAACAAATCAAAGAAAGGTTGGACAAATGGGATTGCATGAAATTGCAGAGCTTCTGCATGGCAAAGGACATAGCTAGCAAGATCAATAGAAAGCCCACGGATTGGGAGAAGATCTTCACTAGCCATACAACGGACAAGGATCTCATATCTAAAATATACCTGGAACTCAAAAAATTAAATCCCCCAACAACAAATCTTCAAAGAAACAACTGCCCAATAAATAAGTGGGCAAAAGACTTAAAGAGAAACTTCTCTGAAGAGGAAAGAAGGATGGCCAATAGACACATGAAGAAATGCTCAACTTCCCTAGCAATAAAAGAAATGCAAATCAGAACAACATTGAGATACCACCTCACTCCAGTTAGAATGGCTAAAATCAAGAACTCTAATATAACAACAGATGCTGAAGGGGATGTGGACAGAAGGAAACCTTACTGCATTGTTGGTGGGAGTGTAAACTTGTTCAACCACTTTGGAAAGCAGTATGGAGGTTCCTCAAAAGACTTCACATAGAACAACCCTATGACCCAGCAATCCCACTTTTGGGCATTTACCCAAATGTTTACAAACAAGACCACACTAAAGCTACCAGCACGACTGTGTTTATTGCAGCATTATTTACTATAGCTAAGATATGGAACCAACCCAGATGCCCCTCAGTAGATGAATGGATCAAGAAAATGTGGTATATATACACAATAGAATTCTATGCCTCTATCAGAAAGAATGACATTGCCCCATTTGTTAGGAAATGGAAAGGCTTGGAAAAAATTATATTAAGTGAAGTAAGCCAGGCCCAAAAAAACATAGGTCCCATGGTTTCCCTTATTTGCAATATCTAGTATATGTCTGAGTCAAGCAGAAAACATCCTCTCAATTCTTAACCATGATCAGGACACCTTCCTTAAACTTGAAATGCCATACTTAGCTATTATAACCAATGCCTAAGCCCAACAAAAGGAGTGAAGCAAAACTGGAAAAAGTAAATAAATAATTAGAACACTGTTTCTTCTAGATGAAAAGTGAATAATCCAAACTGGTAAGGGGTCAAAACTATTGAAACAACAATAAAAATTTAAGGCTTCAAACATTTATAAAATCTCAAAAAAAAACAAAAGAATTACTGGGTAACAACTGCCAGACTAAATTACTGCACTTTTAAAGAACAGGATAATCACAGAATTTTGAGGACCTGATAGGTTATTTAAGTTTTGGTATACTGAACAATCATGGGGAAAATCATGCGGAAAGTTATTCATGTGTGCAGTATTTCGCTAATGTAATGAGATCAAATTAAAGTTTAATTTCAAGAATAAATGAAATATTTGTAAGAGTGGGTATCAAATCATCATAAGGCATCCTAAATGCACAGTTTTATTGAGGAAAAATACTGCCTACACTAAACCTTAAAATATTAAGTACCAAGAAAAGTGAACCACTGATAGGATAGACGAAATATGAAAGAACTTCAAGTGAAAAGACATTTCAAAGCATTACTAGAAATATTTGTGCATTATAGTATCAAGACAATAAAAACATTTTCAGGTCAAGATGCTGGACGAAATGGAACAAGACAAAATATTTAAAAGCAATATGTAAAAGTGTGAAAACCCACCTTCCCAGATTCGTCCCCTCCAACTGACTGATCTTCCATTCCCATGTTCGCCACTGGACCTGGGGTAAAGCTGGGGCTGAAGGCCATGAGGTCGGTCTTGGGCGGGCCCTCCCCAGAGCACACCCTCTGCCTCCTCTGCTGAGAGTAGGACCAGCTCCCCACCGCGCTGGAGCACACCAGCACAGGCTTCCCAGGCGCGCACGCGCCCTCGCTCCGCCCCACAGCCGCCCCAGAGCACCGCAGCGCCACGTACAGCACCAGCGTCAGCACCAGCAGGCTGCACACCGCGCAGATGGCGATGATCAGGTACACGTTCACGTCCACCAGCGTCGCCTCCGAAGCCACGGCGCCCTCCGATGCACGCAAAGACAGCTTGGGCGATTGGCCGCTGTCCACCAGAGACACCAGCACCGTGGCGGTGGCCGTCAGCGCCGGCTCGCCATGGTCCTTCACCAGCACCAACAGGCGCTGCCTCGCGGCGTCCGCCTCGTCCAGCGCGCGCGTGGTGCTGATCTCGCCCGTGTACAGCCCCACGCGGAACGGGCTGCGCGCACCGGCCGCCGCCGGCTGCAGCTCGTACGACAGCCACGCGTTGTAGCCAGAGTCCGCGTCCACCGCGCGCACCTTGGTCACCACGTGGCCAGCGCCCACCGAGCGCCACAGCACTTCGCTGCGCGCGCCGCCGCCGCCGCCGCCGCCGCCGCCGCCGCCGCCGGGAGGCCCCAGCAGCGCAGGCGCATTGTCGTTCTCGTCCAGCACGAACACCTGCAGAGTCACGTTGCTGCCCAGGGCGGGCACGCCAGCGTCGCGCGCGCTCACCTGGAACTGCAGCAGCTCCAGCTCCTCGTGGTCCAGCGGCTGCAGCGCGTACACCTTGCCGCTCTCCGCGTGCACCGACACGTAGCTCGACAGCGCGCGCTCGCCCACCCGCCGCTCCACCAGCGAGTACGACACGCGCGCGTTCTCCTGCGCGTCCGCGTCGCGCGCCCACACCGTGAAGATGTGCGAGCCGGGCGCGTTGTTCTCCTTCACGAACACCGTGTACTCGGCCTGTGCGAACACGGGCGCGTTGTCGTTCACGTCGGCCACCTCCACCGACATGCTGGCGGTGGCCCACAGCGGAGGCGAGCCCCCGTCACGCGCGGTCACCACCACCTTATAGTCAGAGATGGTCTCTCGGTCCAGAGCGCTGTCCAGCACCAATGAATAGTAATTTTTGAAGGTGGACACCAGCTTGAAGGGTGTGGCAGGAGTCAGGGAGCAGGTCACCTGCCCATTTTCTCCATAATCCTTGTCAGACACCCTAACCAGTGCGATAACAGTGCCCAACTGGGCATCTTCTTTTACCGGGAGCGCCAAAGAGGTGATAACTATCTCTGGTGAATTGTCATTTTCATCTAAGATTTCAACTAGGACAGTACAGTGACCAGCCATAGGTGGATTTCCTTTATCTGTAACATCTACTTGAATTTCATAATTGTTGCTGTCTTCAAAGTCAATAGCATCATTTATCCTTATTTCTCCTGTCCTTTCATTTATCAGAAATTTCCTTCGTACAAGATCTGGGACTAAAGAGCTAAATGAATAGACCAGTTCCTTGTTTATTCCTTCATCTGAATCAGAAGCATTTAACCATATTAGTAACGTTTGGTTCGCTTGATTTTCATACATCTTCACTTCATATACAGATCTGTCAAATACGGGAGCATTATCATTGGCATCCAACACCAGGATCAATAAGGAAACAGATGCAGTAAATTCAGGTTTCCCTCCATCAGTTGCAATCAGCAACAATTTAAGCTGAGGATTTTCTTCGCGATCTAATAATTTTCTCAGAACAAGCACTGGGAATTTGCCTTTGTCTTTTTTGTTCATAGTCTCAAGAATGAAAAATTCGTTTGAACTGAGTTTGTAAGTAAGCATTGCATTCTCTCCAACATCTGCATCTGAAGCTCCTTCTAGTGGAAATCGAGAGTCAAGCAGTCTAGTTTCTGGTATCAAGATTTTTTGTTCTGTTACAGAGAACATTGGAGGGTTGTCGTTAATGTCCTTCACCTCCACCTCCACGTGGAACACCTGCAGCGGCCTGTCCACGATCACCTCCAGGTGCAGGCTGCACTCCGCGCTGCGCCCGCACAGCTCCTCCCGGTCGATCCGACCATTCACAAACAAAATGCCATTCTGCAGATTTACCTCCAGAAGGTCCCCGCCGCCCTTGGACGCCACCCGGAACAGGCGCGGCACCAGCTCTGTCAGCTCCAGCCCCAGGTCCTGCGCGATGCGGCCCACGAAGGTGCCGTGTTTGGCCTCCTCGGGGACCGAGTAGTGGAGCTGGCCGCTCCCTGCCTCCCAGATTGCGGGGAGCAGAAGCCAGAGCAGCAGCCGCCAGGCTCCGCGACTGCTGGATATGTAGACCAATAGCCTACCTTTGTCTTGCTTTACAAATCCATGAATACTCCGTCTGGAACGCACACACGCACTACCATTTCCTGCTCGGTTCTTTATTTCCATTTTCTTACCGGGATGGCTGAAATCTCACTATATATCTACTTCCTGGTCCTTAAAACCCAGAAGATTACTGCTTTGTTCCTAAAAGCTACATATTTTATGGACGACAGCGACATCCGGTGGCTACATTTGTAAGTATGCTGCCATGAGTTTAATAACTTCTTTCATTCATACCTTTTAGTTCTATTTTTACGGATTTTTATCCCCATGAACACTTAAAAAATAAAACTCGTATTGTATCTCTTTAGTATATAGTAAGTTCTGTAGAGCCAAAGTGAAAATTTTTCTTTAATGTAGAACCTGAGAAGTGATTCTTTCCCTAACCTTATAACTTTTTTTTTCAAACACCTTAGTAGTTGCATGCATACTGAGTGTAATAGGATGTTATTTGATGACAAGCATAAGTACCTTCAAGTTATAATACTGAGTTACTGCTCTTTATGATTGAGATTCGATAAACTTTTAGGATAATTTCAAGTATTTTTCTCTCTGAAATATATGTAACTCCTAAGTCCCAGTCAATAGCAGCATGTAGATAATTGAGTTTCAGCACCAGCTATTTCTCCACTTAGATTGTTATAACCTTTTTTATTAACCATGTGAGTGGTAACTTCCAGGTGTTATAGTTTCCACTTTTATAACACTGGTAGAATTATCATATGATGGTTGGATTGTGACATCTGTAAGTGCTTTGGATAATACTTTAAAGAGAATGAACATTTCAAACATGAGAATTATTCTCAGACCTCAGTTTGTGCACATGAGTTCTCACAATGTTCACAAACAAATTTGACTTATCAGGGAAAATATTACCTTTAGAATGTTGTATTCTCCAATGCCTTTGTTTTGCTATGACACTGACAGAAAAGGCTGGTTCTTGTCTTTAAGGAAGTATAGAAGTGCTCTCATTGATATAACAATGTACATTGAGTAGAAAGTTCAGTTTATGGTATCTTACAGGGGCAAAAACTATCTTAATTATGATTCTAAATAAAGCAGTTCACAATTTTATGACTTCTACTTTTAGAGCCAAGTAGTTTTGTGCTATTATGTTTAATTTTTTCAAGTATAGAGAAGCTATAGTTCTGGTATTTATCTAATATCTTTATATAATAAAATGTGATCAGGTCTTTTCCTCACTGCCTACAATGAAAAGTATTTTTAGTGAGCACAAATTGCTCATGACTGGAATCCTAGCTACTCAGAAGGCTTAGATCTGAGGATTTGTGGTTTGAAGCCAGCCAGGCAGAAAAGTCTGTGAGACTTATCTCCAAAATCAGTAAAAAAAAAAAAAAAAAAAACGGGAAGTAGCACTGTAGCTCAAAGTGGTAGAACACTAGTCTTGAGCAAAAGCTTTCAGGGATAGTGCCCAGGCTCTGGGTTCAACCTCCACAACCAACAAAAAAGTATTTGTTTTTCTTTTGCAAAACTTGGAATCAAATATTCATGAGCCAAAATTATACACGAATGTCTATGTGGCTAAAACTTTGAATTCTCTCTTTCAAAGAAAGGAAAATTTAATTTAAAACTTTGGTCCTATATAAAGTTAATTTGTAAATTTTAACAATATATTTGTTAAAATGTATTTCTAAATATATATATTATTTCAAACTATTTCAGTCATTACAAAATAAATGACAGAGCCACAATATTTACAAAATGAACGTGAATGGGAGCTAGTTAGTGAAACCTGGCATATAATTACTTTCTATAAATTATAAGTAATTTTCTATAGCTTTTTAATCTTTTAGAATGAGTTCAATGTCAAAACCATTTACATTCTGATTTTAGGTGTTGCATTCTTTTATAAAGTATAAATTAAAATATAATTGGTTGGTTTTCCATCTAAAATACTGGTATTTAATTTGAATTCTAGAATTTATTTAATTTAGAATTCAATTCTAGAATTGAAAAAAACAAGCATATACTTTAGTTTATAATAAAAAATAACTTTATAATCATTAGAACATGAGAAACTAACATGAATAAAACTACATTTCAACTAATGTGCATTTTATACCAAATGATATTAATAACATCAATATCTCAATATGGCGCTCTAATACTGAAAATTGTAAGCTAGTTAAATCACTTCTCTTCAAATAATAGGAAAATATTTGGTTAAACATTGAACAGAAGAATATATCTAAAATATAAGTTCAACAAGAACCACCTTTGGTGCCCAACAAAATGTAAATTTTTGTAAATTATATTTTGATAATTTATTTTGGAAATTTTGAAGCCTTAAATGTTAATGTTCAATGAAAACTCTCATTGCTTCTAACCCAGGTAACATTAGTAAGATGAAGGGCAATCTGACTGTGGCCCTCAATATGCCTAGGACAGGTTTGGTTTATATCTATAGCCTTGTCTGTTTAGTTTTACTTCCTCTTTCACTCTTAAAGTGCCTGGAATTGAGTGATAACCTAGCTTGCCCTATCAACTGATTATTACTTCAAAACTGATATGGGGGGCTTGGGAGTGTGGCTTTGTAGTAGAATGCTTGCCTTGCATGCATGAAGCCTTGTGTTCCATTCCTGGGTACCACATAAACAGAAGTGGTGCTGTAGCCCAAGTAGTAGAGTACTAGCCTTGAGCAACAGAAGCTCAAGGACAGTGCCCAGGCCCTGAGTTCAAGCCCCAGGAAGGCAAAAAAAAAAAAAAAAAACACTAGTATGAGGAGCTTCCTTCTGAGTTTCCTGCTTCTGGCTTGAATTGAGGACCCTTTGCCTACAGAAACATACAAGGTGAGCTCCATGCTTTCACCCCTATGTTGAGTTTCTCACTCTTATTCAGTCCCAACTTCCTGAATCTTGTTGTGCTCATGTTTTACAATGCCTTTAAAAATGTGTTAGTAAGATATTTACAGTTTCTCTGAAATTGGAATATAATGACAGCCCATAATCTGGGAAAACACTAAAGATTAATGTAAAGGACTAATTTACTAATAATAACCATGACCCATAAGGAATAAATATCACTATGGGAGACATATGGAGTGCTCCAAAAATTGCTCTAAGCAACAAAAAAAGATTTGTCTTAGCTGGGCACTAATGGCTTAGGTGTGTAATCCTAGTTACTAAGGTAGCTGAGATACAAGGATCATGGTTCCAAAATCAACCCAGGGAGAAATTAATCACCAAAAAGGGTCCAGAAGTGGAGCTGAATCTCAAGTGGACACTAGCCTTGAACAAATAAAGCTTGGGGACAACAACCAGGCCCTGAATTGAAGCCCCAGGACTAGGGAAAAAAAGAATTTGTCTCGTGCCAAGTGACATTTGTAATGTCTCTCACTCAATAATACATACTCAAATACCTGAACCCAAGCTCAATTGACATATGAAACAGAAAATGCTGCAAAACCAGATATATTTCAAAGCATAAGTCTGAATGTAATGTGAATTGTGCTGATAGTATGTTTAACAAAAGGATAGCAGGCTCTACCTGAGTTTTGAACACTTATTTTCAGAGAAAAAAAACCCTGAAATAATATATCTTAAATACAATTTACTTGTATTTTCACCATTATTACTATGACACTATTCATTCATATAAAAGTTACTCTTACTCCACTGAAATAAGATCATTTGGCTGGTAGGGAATGAAATCAGAGCTTCATGAATGTGAAGAAAGCATTGTGATTTTATCTAAAAAATACCTTGGAAAAATACCTGATACAATATGACATAAAAAAGAGGATTGAGAGATATATAAATCAAGAAAAGTCTGTCAAAACATGAACTGAAGTTAAGCACTGGTGGCTCATGCCTGTACTCCTAGCTATTCAAGAGGCTGAGACCCAAGGATCATGGTTCACAGCCAGCCCAGGCAGAAAGTCCCTCTGAGACTCTTATCTCCAGTTAACCACACAAAAACTGCAAGTGGAGCTGTGGTTCAAAGTCGTAGGATGCTAGCCTTGAGCAAAAGAGCTCAGAAACAGTACCTAGGCCCGGAGTATAAGACCCACAAACCAAAAGAAAAAAGAATTGAAAAACACAGCATGTATAACCTAAATATACAATGCTCAAAGGACCAACTTGAAAGCCACAGACTATAAGCAAGAAAAGTGTTAACACAAACTGACTTAAAAAGCGCAAGAATTTTGTCTTCTAGAATACCAAAGGAAAAGTAAGTTATCATCTAAGATGGGGAAAATTTAAGTTCAAAACCATAAATCTAAAGACAAAAACTTTATATTCCAGAATTATGTCACCAAACTGAGAAGATCTAAAAAATTGCTTTATGAAGGAAGCCTATCAGGAATTTGTTTTCTATAGCAGAATATAAATGTATTATAATTTTCTAAATGTAGCACAGTCAATCAACATATTCTCATAATCTATATTGTCAAATACTTAGGAATATATATATATATATGGTTTTGAAGGATCTATTTATAACTTTTTTGAGAAAACTAGGGTATTATATGGAGAAATTATTTCCTAAGCTTCACGAGAAATCACAGAAGAAATACTAAGTGATGCCAAACAAGCTTATTTGAAGAAAATCTCAATCTAAAGAAATATAGAGAAAGTGAAGAGGTTATAATCAACAATAGAATACTGCCAGGCACCATCGGTTCATCCCTGGATACTAACTACTTAGGAGGCTGAGATCTGAGGCTCACAGATCAAAGCCAGCCTAGGCAGTAAAGTCCATGAGACTCATCTCCAATTAACCACCAAAAATCCAGAAGTAGAGATGTGGCTCACGTGGTAGAGGACTTAGATTTGGAGGGGGAGACGCTCAGGAACAGTGCTCAGGCCCTGAGATCTAGCCCTAGGTCCAACCCAAAAATATTGTCAAATTCTGGAATAAGTGATACAGGTATTTTGATATTTTCAGAATGAGTTACACAACATTATTTTTCAAAACCCTACTCATCTTCAAGGGTTACGGCAGACCAGCCGTACAACCCAAAGCCACTGGTCAAAGGTCCTAACTAACGTTAATTGAACCCGAAAATGGATTGTCCTTGATCAACAATTTACCATAATTAACATTAGGAAAGGTAAAATAAATTATTCAAATCCAATGCTAATTGAAACGTTGATTGCTATTTGATAATTTCTACGAAAATGAAAACATTAAACATATCACGGGAAATAATAAATACCTTCAAAAGAAAAGATATAAATAAACAAGACACTAGACACCTACCTTCCCAGAGGAGTCCAAAAACGTAGATGGCTCTCCCATCCCATCTGAAGATCCAGGACAGGGTGGAAGGCTGGGGCTGAAGGCCATGAGGTCGGTCTTGGGCGGGCCCTCCCCAGAGCACACCCTCTGCCTCCTCTGCTGAGAGTAGGACCAGCTCCCCACCGCGCTGGAGCACACCAGCACAGGCTTCCCAGGCGCGCACGCGCCCTCGCTCCGCCCCACAGCCGCCCCAGAGCACCGCAGCGCCACGTACAGCACCAGCGTCAGCACCAGCAGGCTGCACACCGCGCAGATGGCGATGATCAGGTACACGTTCACGTCCACCAGCGTCGCCTCCGAAGCCACGGCGCCCTCCGATGCACGCAAAGACAGCTTGGGCGATTGGCCGCTGTCCACCAGAGACACCAGCACCGTGGCGGTGGCCGTCAGCGCCGGCTCG